GCATGGGTCTTCAGGAAGAGAAGATAAGATATAAAGTAGGAGTGAGCAAGTACAATCTGGAATTTACAAGGACAGAGACAGACTGCAACCCGTATCAGTTATAATCGCCTCTAACCTTGATGATGTGGGCATCGTGCCTGAAGGAGCCAGGGCTCTTTGTCACGGAACTGAATACACATGTGGCCCAAAAGTCAGAAAACTGAAGGGAGGATCCCAGAAAGGTGGAGCATTTTTAGGCCAAGCTAAAGCTGTAATTCTAATCAAACTAAATTCAATGTATTTATTAATAAATCTTAATTAAAATTCCCTAATGTTTTAAAATCAAAGATAAGTTATTATCTCTGGTAATTGTCCCTTCTGGCTACTTCACTCTCAATGATGAAAGCCTGGGGTTGGATAGAGAAATCAGAAAAGACAAGAAAGGGAAATGTCCTATTGATGAGCACATCCAATGCTCACTTTAATTTCTTTAAGCCCCCAGGATAATACTGTTTTGTTGTCTTCGATTATCGTTTTCTATAAGCTAATGGCCCTTCACCTATTTTTATGCCTAGTGTTCCATTATTGGAATGCTAAGCACGTGGGAATTGTTTATATCCTACTGCTCAAGGTCATCACCAAGGTCTGATTCCAAAAATTCCAAAAATTGTAACCTCAGGCATAAATGGGTTAATTGGAAGAGGAATCCCCAGTCCATCTGTACGTTCTGGTACAGGGAAAAATAATAGGCAAATCAGTACCTAATTTTCTGACAGAGAAAATCCATTACAAGGATGGTTGCCTTTGAAAGTATCTCAATAGGAGTCATATCAAGTCTTCTCATTTCAGTGACTAGAAAAATGAATAAACTCTGGCTAGACAACTCATGAAATTATCCATCCCTGCATCATCTATCAGTCAGATGATACTGTCCCAAGCTATAGTGACTGTATAATATTCATATAAAACTTCAGCCTCGTGGGAGAAAATAAATCAAGTTGTTATACCGTCACTATTTCCTAGTAAAGATTATACACCTTGAGACTGTGAAAGAATAGGGGTAATTTTTCATCGTTCCTTTAAATATACATTTCTATGTGTACAAATACACAAGCATATTAAATATATTATTTTCATTAAAATAACTTTCTCATATCAGTTGAATATTTGGAGCCGGGTAAGCAAAGCTAAAATGCAAATGTGGTCCACCATAGTAAGACAAGCCATTCTACTTATGGGGTGACCTTAAATAAAAATTTCCCAGGCGTGGTAGGAAAGCAAGTGCTGATTTTTCCATCTTCTTGCTAAGTGAACATTGCTCACTCCCAGTACCATGTTTCAAAGACCAACGGGCAAATATCCAATTCTCCCAATTGTTCATTTTTCTAGAAAAATAGAGATTACAACAGAGACCACTCAACTGCAATCAATTACAATATAGATGATGATGATGATGATGATTGATTGATGACCATGATATCCAGCATTTTGATGATGCATTTTTACACATGTAGCTATTAATTTTGACTAAAACTACTTTTTATATACCATTGTCTTCTGTGATGTCATGAAAAGGCCAAGTACAGCACTCCAAGTACCGGTGGACTGGGGATTTTTTAAGAAAGCGAGGAAAGGCACAGAAACAGATGCAGGAACTCTAGGTCAACCAGACCAGCAGTCAGGGGGTGTCTGAGGGTTTCAGTCCTCATCACTCCCACCACCATAACTCCCATTCACCCTTTAAAGTTCTATTTTATCTTTACTGTTATTCTTCTAATATCAGCACTATTCTCTATGAATGAATCCTTCTTATCGTGCAGCCAAAACTTGTATTACTTGGGTACAGAGAACAATCACATAATACCACAAGTCTCCTTCCAGCAAAATAGTTAAAAGTACATTCTTTTTAGTTTAAACTTAAACAGCCTCATCTGACTTTTTCTTTTCTTTTCTTTTCTTTTCTTTCTTTTTTTTTTTTTTTTTTTTTTTTTGATGGCAGCAAACACTGGATCTGCCTCAAGCAGATTCCTTGGCTGCCCAGCAAACTTACACCAGTCCACAGAGGCCCTGAAACCTCTGACAGGCAAGTAATAAGCAGCATGAAAATGGAACTAATGATCCACAGCCCCAGTGCTTTGTTTCCAGAAGCAACTGGTGTCCGCTTTCAGAATCTCTGAGTCTGGAAATGATGGGAAATAGTAAGGGAAGCTATGTGGTCCAGAAAAAAAATAGTTGTGGACCTGAATGGCTTGCCATTATTACATTTCCCTATTGGGCCAGCATACTGCCTCTTTGCAGTTTGCCAGATTTCGCCTAACCTCATCCACATTTAAAAGTCTATGGAAAAACAGGAGGGCCTTTCAGGGGGAAATTCATTCATGTTTGGATTCAGGCAGATTTAGGAACCTTTAATAGCACTGTAATTACCCTGCAGGGCACACCACAGAGCAGCCAGCAAGCTCTCCCTCAATGGACACAAAATTTCCTCTGGAATTTACAGAGCAGAAACCTTAAACACACATCGCCATAAGAACCAGATTACATAATGTCTCCATCACCCTCCTGACAGCTACAATTATGAGTCAATCCCTGGTTTAAATATGAAACCGGAAGCTCCGTGTTTCCCCTCTGACTATGTGGCAGGCTAAGTTGAGCTCTTCGGGGCTGTCAGTTTGGAGATCTGAGCTGCTCCCACAGTCACTAATTTAGCATGAGACCAAATGACAGGGTAATTAAAAGCAGCACCGCAGAGACCCGCTCCAGGACCAGATGTTCTCCTTGTTTAATCATTGCCCACATAAGGAACAGAAATAGCCCCCTCCTTTAATTTTTCCTTTTCTTTATCCTCTCCAGATAATTTCCGGCTTCTGATCTTTCAATCCCACAAAATAAAATAAAAATAAAAGCCCCATTAGGAAAGATGACATGTTATTGAACATATGACTGTAAGTTGCAATGCACTCTTGTAGTCTCCTCTTTGTACTTCTTGAAGCATTCCAGCTCATAAGACATTAAGTTGCCCTGGCAACCTCACATGACTAACAGCTCCAGAGAGCCCCACCTAACTGCAAGGGCTCATTTAAGTCAACATGGGCCACCCCAGCACTTAGTAGCCTAGGGCTGAGTAAATAGCCTTGCTTTTTGGTTTTTTAGGACAGGCTGGAGGAGGCGGCCCCTCCCCTTTTATTGCCCCAAACACAGGATAAATAAGTCTCCACCCGAACTTCTCCAGGAACTTGACTAAAAGGGCCATGGGTCATCTGGCAAATCAAGGCGAGGTCTTCTCTTCACGTTTCTGGCTTCTGGACAAATAAGGCAGAAGAAAAGGGAAGTTGAGCTAATAATGTATACCTTCTAAAAATGGAAAAGCAGTATGCAATATAGCTATCTCAATCTTATCAAATCTGAAGAGGCAGCTTTCCTATGTCCCTTGGGATCCAGAGTCTGGTCTCTATCTACATAGCAGGGTTCCCTGGCATTAAAGCACTAGAGGCCTTGAGGACAGTCTTGGAAATCAGGAGAATAGAGATCCAACTCTAATTCCACCATTTGTGACAACAGACAAGCCGCTTTACCTCTCTGAGGTAATTTCTGAATTGGCAGTATGGAATGACAATCCTTGCTTTTTTTCTCTTCTGGGACCTGTCTCTGCAAACTTTCTCCTCATCCACAATTCCCAAGCATGTGGAGTTCTAGGTTCTCAAGATAAAAGGTGCTAATGAATTGTGAGTATTTCCAGATAAATAGGTATAGTCTTTTTAAAAAAAACAAGTAAATCAAAATTTTTAAAACATGATCACTTGAGATTTTTGACTTTATGAAGGTAATCAGACAAGAACCTTTGATCCTTGCTTTCACTAATCCCTTCTGAATCATTGATTGCTTGCTAGCATCAGGTAGATCGACTCAAGTCACTGCCTAGTAATGACCAATCTGAAATGAGGATAAAGGTGCTCTACAAAAGCATATTGTAAATCAGAAAGAAACAGAAATACTCAATGATTTGATGAAAACTCACTAGTTCTGTACAGGGAGGGAACCACAACTGTTACTACTATACAACTTTTGTTCTACCCTGGAATCACCTCCCATGTGAGAGTTTTAAGTGGGGTGTATTCACCTGGTTAAATAGACAAGCATGGGACAGTCTGAAAAAGAGTCTCCACTTTCAGGGATGACGCCCACATCAAGACAAAATGATGACTAGAATAACAGCCAAACCGACCCACAGGACAAGAAACAAAGTTGTGGTCAGCCGTGTTTGGCATACTGCCCCTGACAAACAAGGAATCATGGGGGTCCCATCTTTAAACAGACTTTATATTACTCACCATCTGATCAGTGTGATTGTGTGTGTGTGTGTGTGTGTGTGTGTGTGTGTGTGTGTGATGTAAGAGTGAGGGGAGAAGACAGGAGCATGCATTTGCTTACCGAGGCATTACTCGAGTGGTATTTCCTGCAGACGTGGAGGTATATTTAAGGTAGCAAGTACTCTAATATCTCATGTTTATCAACTTCCTGATTGGGATGCAAAAGTGTATTGAATTTTCTCAGTGGAAAACATATTTGTGTATTCCAGACCTCAGAGGAAAACAATGAAATAGAAGTCTAAACCAGGCCCAAAATAACAAGAACCATGGGGACACATTAGAGCAACGTATAAGAAACAATGATGTCCATCCTGCATGGCCACTACTCTTCCCTCCCTGCTTCCCAGGGGGGTTTAAAGAATCAGTGATTGACTAGGCACACTTCTTACGAATATAAAACATGATTCATGTTTGCCAGTATTAACCATCCACTCACTTGGAAAAAGTGACTTCTCCACCTGAGTGCCGCACTCTCCTTTGGGTCATTTCAGGAAACACTTGTAGCCTGTTTGTGCTCTCAGAAATGTTTTCCAACCCTTTCCTTCAAACTTCTCCTGAACTTATGCCTCGCCCGAGGACCCCAAAGACCTACCATGCTCTCCCTATTTCTTATTTAGATTTATAAGGAACAGAAAACAGCCAGCAAGTTAGTATCAATCCCTACACTCCTGAATGTATTCATTCATTCATTCGACATATTTGTTGAACCCTTATCAAGGCCAGGGACTGCTCTGGGCATAGGAGATACAGAAAAAAAGACAGGTTTGGCTGGGTGCAGTGGCTCCCTCCTGTAATTGGAGCCCTTCAGGAGGCCAAGGTGGGGCGGCAGGATAGCTTGAGGCAGGGATACTGTAGACTGCGATGATTGCACACTACACTCTAGCCTGGGAGAGCGTGCAGGACTCTGTCTTCGTTTGTTGTTGTTGTTTTGTTGCTGTTGTTGTTTAAAGGTTCACGTTCTCAAGGAGGCATACACTAGTGGAAAGACACATTAGACAATTAGCCCTAGCAAAAAGTGACACAAAGGCAACCAAACAGAGGCCCCAATGGGATCTTTTTGTTTACTGGAGTTCCAGTCCCACATATCTTCCATGTGTGCAGGTATATGAAGTGTCCACCTCCAACTTAGAAAGAATTCCACAAGCACTCAGAACTTCATGACATTTGTTCCCTGGCTTTGTGATATTCACTTTAACATACCACAAATATTAAGCTCAGAGAGGCTGTGTGGATTTTCTGAGGTCACACAGTTGTCTCAATGGAAAAAGTAGGGAAATGTTATAAAATAATACGAGTATCAAAATAGCTGTCCCCTCGCCGTCCTTCAACACTTGCAGGTTACATCACTTTGCAGGTCTGGCTGTGACATCACTTCTGGATATGCGACACAGCCCACCCCACCACTGAGAAAATGGAAAATGCTGAGCGGTAACCTCAGAAACAACTTCCTCCTGCAAACGCAATTTCTTTTCCGCCTAAACCTTTACAGCAGTGAAGGTGGGTGTAAGGCGCACCAAAGAGCCTTTCAAAGTAGGAACCCCGGCCTGCAGGTCAGCCTGGATGGTGTCCAAATTGGGTCCTACCCCTGGTGAAAACCAATCTGTTTCTGGGTACGCTTTTCTGATGTTACAGAACGTCTGCGAGAGAGGGAGCTCAAGTTCCTGCCTGCTGTCGAAGTAACCCGGCCCACAAAGGTGCACACACACGTCCGAGACAGAAAAAAGCTTGCCGGTCGTTCCCTCCTCCCAGGCCTGCAATGAAATACGCTTTAATTGCATCAAAGTGTTCTTCTCAATGGGGTTTCAGAGGCGCGAGAGCGGCGTTCCCAGCGAGGGTTCCTTTCCGGCTGGCCAGCATTCCTCAGCCCTGCGCGGGGAAGGGGATGGGGCTCCTTGGGCAGGGCCTGAGGCTCATTTCCATTCCTGTCGCATACAGCCTCTGTTGTGCGGGCCGGGCCTGCAGAGGGTAGCCGCGGCTGCCTACGAACAAAGCCCCATTCATCCCCAGGGACGCTTCCTCCCCGCCGGCCCGCGGCCGCAGATGGGCTGGCCTGGGCACGCCATCCTGCAACCCGGGCGCGCGGCCCGGCCTGGCGCGCACAGGGCTCCGATTCAGGACGCCGGGGCTGGCCGGGGCGACCCGGGCTGCTTTTTCAGCAGGCTCCACAATGAGGATCGGCTGAAACTCGCTTTCATTTCTGGGCCGGGGACAGGCAGACACTGAGTCCTTTCAGCCGGGAAATCCTCAGTTTACTCACGGCCCGTTGGGAGCGAAGATGTCAATTTCCACTGCCCTCTCCCGGCCTCCCCCACCCCTGCCCCCTCGGGATGGTACGGTCCGAAGTTTCCCAAGTTGTGAGAGGACTTTGTTTCTCCTCTGCGGCCTCTGAAATCCCGACGAAAGGGTCATTTCCTGACTTTTGTGTCTCTTCAATCCAGTGCCTTGAACGTTCTTACCCTCTTGTTGTGACTGAGTGCTTAATTGCAAGGCTGCTCCCTAACTTTTTTTCAGAGCTGTAACATTCCTCTAGGTTCAAGTTTGGGACCGTGGCTTCACAACAAAGACCGGTTTTTTCCTCCCCCTCCTCACTCCTGGGAAAAAGAAAAAAAGGAAAAGAAAGAAAGCAAAACGCGTTTGTTCAGCAGCAACCATGTTCACAGATTGCGAGCACGTTTCCTCCGGCCCCACACGTTAGACCAACAACAGGTTAATGCTACGGAGCGCTCTAACGCCAAATCGAAGGGCTACAGTCTCACTTTTTCTTAAGTCTCAGGCAGCTGGGGGAGTTGGGGCGGTGTGTGCTTAATTTCTAGTCCACAATCTAAAACAGAAACAGCCTCCAGATCTACATTCCTAGGCTCTGGCTTAAACAGGGAATGGCAGAATCAAAGAACACCAGATATAGGAAGACTTATCAACCCTAATGCATTCATTTTACAGATAAGAAGCAGATAAAATCTAAGAAGGGAAGTGACTTGTCCACCCTCCAAAAGAAGCTGGTTCATCCCAGTAAAAATTGCCTCAAACAAACTTAAAAATCATTTTCAAAAAGAAAACCTCCAAGAAAAAAGTGTTGTTCAAAAATATGTTTTCTTTTCTCCCTTTGTGTCAGAAAAAGTTGTCTCTGAGTTGGTGGGAAAAGGGTGGGAACCCAGGTTTGAAATGAGGATTAGAAAAAAACCTTCAAGTATCTTTCCAAAGAATGCTCTCTGTGTTTCTTTCACTTCCTGCATTTTGAACATTGCTACTCTCTCTCTTCAAAGTACAGTCATTCCCCCGTATCCGTTGGGATTGGTTCCAGGACACACCCCCACCCATAACCCAAACCTTGGGTGCTGAAGTCCCTTACGTAAAATGCAACATATTTGCATATAGCCTATGCACATCCACCCTTATCCTTTACTTCGTCTCTAAATTACTTACAATGCCTTAAACAATGCCTACACATCACTCAATTCTCCTGGATTCAATGTAGTACTTTGTGTGTGGGGCAAATTCACGGTTTGCTTTTTGGAACTTTGTGGAATTTATTTTCTGAATATTTTTTATCTGCGGTTGGTTGAGTCCATGGATGCAGAACTGATGGATACAGAGGGCCGACTGTATTGCATCCTTGGTGTGGCTAAAAAAAATACAACAAAAACAAAACTGGTTACTTGCTACTCCAAGACTTCTTTCGTCTTGCAGGAAAAAACCTTCACAATCTTAAAATGGAGATAGGGTTACTTTGCATGGGTTATTTCTAAATGTACAAAATGAATCAGTATACACACAGATAGAGAGAGAGGAGTGCTTGTCACGTACCAAGTACCATACTAAGCACTTTACATGCATTACCTCATTGAATCCTCGCAATAGCCTATGAGGAAGATACTATTACTAACCCCATTTTACAGGAAACAAACTAAAGCTAAGAGGGGTTAATTTTAACTTTATCAAGGTCACACAGATGTTAAATGGCCAAGCCAAGCAATGTGACTCCTGGTCTTGATCTCGTTCACACAAGGCTTCAGTGAATCTTGATGCACAAATACATGGGAACACACTGGGCACAGAGGTCTAGACTTGGAAGCCAAGAAAGCTCCAGCCAAGACATAGGTTTTTGTGTTTCAGCAAGGGAGGGGCTACAGTGGCATGCCTGAAGGCTACAGGAGGGAGAATCTGCCTCATCCTACCCCACTTGGAAAGAAAAAAAGGCCATGTGAGGACTTACTAATTTCACACTGAAACTCTCCTTTGAGAAAGCAAGAGTTTGAATTCATAGTCACTCCCTGTTCTGAGCAGTCTTGTGATTTTATCTTTTAAACAATGCTCTGTAAACAACTTTGTCAAACCTTGCTAGTTGTCACGGCAGAGGGGACAAGACAGTGGTTAATTATACTGCTAATAAAATGTGCAGCTTATAATTGACACACATCACTTTTGCCCCATAACTCATTAGCCAAAACTAATATACCACCTCAACTACAATATAAGTCCAGGAAATGAATTCCAGCCCTGTGCCCAGAATAGGGGACAAGGTGGACTAAAACTGCATGGTAACCAGCCCTAGTGACGACCATCACACTCAATAAACACTGCTCTTCTTCCGACGGATAGCGAATAGCAGTACTTTTTATAACTTCCCATTTTATAGCTAGTCCATGAGACTTTAGAGCAGCTCTAATGTGGAAGGCTGTGTAATCTCAGGAGTCATGCATGTCATCACAAGATTCAACAAGAGCTTCTGGCTGCACTGGGCTACAAAGGTGTTCTCTTGCTTCTTATGAGCTCCACTATCCCAGAAGAGGAAACAATGAAAATAAACTCTTAAGGAAAATGGTCTCCTTTGGCATACCCAACTTGGAGATCACTGTGGGAGGGAGCAGAAAATATGCAAATAAAAGCAAAAGCAAATTTTGACCACAGAACTAAGAAAGTCTGTAGGAAAGATGCTGGAGTGACAGGACTGACATTGTCATTTTCTCCCACATTGGATTTGCCTAGCTGTGTCTTATGGAAATGATTCTTAACCTCTCCTCAATACTTCCCAAACGAACTTGTCTTTGTTTTGGTGTTTTCTGAGCAATTCAAAGCTCATCTGGAGTTAATATGACACACACTTTGTTCATTGACTGACCTGTGTAGAAATGCTGGTCAGCTTCTCTCTTTTTTGACTTCTGCTTAACTTCAGACGCAGACTAGCCTATCCCATTCTTATCTGATCATTCCTCGATTGTCGGGCATTGTAGATTGTTACTAATTTTTAAAAATCATACATATAAAAAGCAGCACTAAAATAAATATTCTGGTACATAAAATCTCTCTCTGCATATATAATTATCTCTGGAGACTGGAATCACGCAGTAAAATTGTGTGAATTTTGCTCCAGAAAAGCACCCGTATGGTAGTCTTTACCTCTACTTGTAGAAAGACCACAGAAAGGGAGTAACTGCTGCAGAGAAACAGCATCACCTGGAGTCATGGGAATTCCCTGGACTTCGTGCTTCATGGACAACAGTGGAATTCAATTCTTCAGGAACATTGTTCGGGATGGTATATATGCCTCAAGATTCCCTTACTTACAAAATGTAGCCTAAAAGTGGCCTGATTTCAAATGATTATACGACCACATAGCAACAGACTGCTTATGATCCAGTAAGTGAAAAAAGTGGACCCTACAATGACAACCAATTTTTTTTAAATGCTGACAAAAAGGACTGTCAAAGACAACCTCAAAGTATCAATGTGTGTAGATAATAGGAATGATTTTTTTCTTTAATCTTCCAAAATTTTAGAATATGATGATATTGGTTTATAATGATGTAAAAAAATAAAATAAAATAAGTCGCATAAAGGACACATCTGATGAGAATGTGAGCTGGGAAAGCTGTGTCACAGCTGCTCTTTCAGAAGTAGCCGGCCATTGTTGCACTGGAGCCAGCCCCAGTTGCCTGGATGTGGAGGCCGCATTTGGCTTCCCCAGGGTTTTCATGTAGCTACTTCCTCTCCCCACAAACAGGCAACCACCCGGGCGGCTAAGCCAACAATGCAATGTCGTGCATCATCACCAGACCTGACTGGGAGGCCCGCTGTGGGCCCCAGACCTCCTCTGAGAGAGCGGACTAAACTCGCAGGGGTGTTTCAGAGCAAAATGGTTTCAAAGCAAGAAACCATTTAAAAGAAACAGGAAACAAGTCCCTCAAACCCAAACCATGTGGAAAGATAGGCCACATCATTTAAACAAACCAACAAGAATACAAGTTTGTATAAATACCCTGCTACTTCCACATTTCTAAAAATCATTGCAGTCCAATTAGGAAAAACCTGTTTAAGAAACATTTATTAAGAACCTTCATAAGTCAGGCATTGTGATCATCTTAAGGTTTCCAATTAAATAACATCTCAGCCCTCCTGGGACACCCATCCTACTGAAAGAGATACACATGCAAATAATGAATCAAGCCTGGCAATATGAAAATTTTAATAAAAAAGGCAACACATGCCTCTATCTTAACATAAAAGGAAACTTAAAGGGCCCACTAGATTTAGCAATTGAGTAAAAAATTCGTAGGCTAGGGGATGAAAGATGCAGTGAATTGAGAAGGTAAGGTGAGGGAGACGAAATAAACACTGTTCTCTCAAGAAGTTTAGCTGAGAGGAAAAGAGAAAAGACAGCAGGATAACAGGTTAAGTTGTAATTCAGGATTCATGCTATTTTCCCTAGTGGGAGAGGTATGAATATGTTTGTAGCGTGACAGGAAGATTTCAAGGTAGAAGTTGAAGATACAAGATAGGGAAGATGGAAGGGGATGGCATTCAGCACATATTTAACTAGTACAAGCGTTTCCTCTTGGAATTTTTACCCTATCAACCACAAACAAAACGTTTCTGCCTGTATGAAGAGCTCATCTTTTCCAGCTTTTCACCTTGCATGGTTTTAGCAGGACATTAGATGTATTAGATGATGTTAGATCCTGTCTTATGTAAATCTGGAATTTTAAAAAATAACAAAGCTCATTTAGAATTTATGAATTTTTGTCTACTCTAAAAGGAAACAGATTATAGCTATTTCATACTTCCCTTTGCATTTTCTTTCTTCTTCAAGATCATTACGTAAACGATATGACCTCAAAGTTGTAAGAAACAGAGATGCACGGCAAATCACTGCATCGAGAGAAACCCAGTTATCCATAAGTTATTTGATGAAGAAAAAGGGGAGCATTACCAGGGAGAATATTATATTTTTCTTTTCTTTTTGAAGTGTTTGAGATTTTAGTTACATTTCCTTT